TTTGTGCCACTGAACCTGGGTTCACATGTCTCTGGGAAATCAAATGTGGGCCTTCATGCTTATGTAGCAAAGCCACCCTGAGCCACCTCACAAGCTTCTGACGTTGAGCTCCTTGACCTCTGAAGTATTGGGATTACAAATATGCTCTACTATACCCAGCTCTACTTTGTGTGTGTGTGTTTTCACAGGCCTAGCCTTGGCCAAAAGACCCTGCTGTCTCTTTCTCCTCCTGGCAATGCCTCCTGGACTGTTCGGGCTTTGTTCAAGCCATGCTGTCCCTTGGATGCCTTCCCAGGTTGGCGGCTGTTCTTGGATATATGACCCATATTGCAACCAACTCCAGCATCCCATTGGCACCAGAGGCTGGGAAGCCACATGCTTTCAGGGGCTTGCGAAATGTTTAAATTTTTTTATGATTAGAAGAAACAAAAAAAAGAATTTTAAAGGGTTAAAGAGGGCCAGTGGTAGTGGTGGTGGTGGCCCACACCTTTAATCCCAGCACTTGTGAGGCAGAGTCAGGTGGATCTCTGTAAGTTTGAAGCCAAACTGGTCTACAGAGTGAGTTCCAGGACAGCCAGGGCTACACAGAGAAACTCTTGTCTCAAAAAAAAAAAAATCTAGAAAAAAAGAAAAGAAATTTCTAGTGGACACAGTGGTAGACAAGCAGGAGCAGGAGCAGAATTGTTTGTGACCAGCCTGGTCTGCAGAGTGCATTCTAGGCCATCTGCCTCTGTCTCCTGAGTGCTGGCGTCAGAGCGGACATCACTTCGCCCGACAGATATTGCTTTTCAACAGAGGAGGTGCTCAGAGAGGCTGAAGTACTTAGGTTCCCTGAAAGTCACCTTATGGCCCTGATCATTATTCTTGGTTCCTCCTTCCCACAGTTACCTGAGAGTGCCTAGGATAAAAGCAGACACCTCTGTGCTCTCTTTCATTTTTTGTGGTACTGAGTATCAAATCTGGGACCTTGAGTATATCCTAGGTATAAGGTCTATCTCTGAGTTGCATCTTTGGCATTGTTGTTGTAAAACACACACACACACACACACACACACACACACACACACACACACACACACACACACACACACACGCATATTTCTGTCCATATGTATGGTGTACATGTGCGTGTGAAAGATACCTTTTTTTTTTTTTTCTTTTGAAACAGGGTCTCATACTGGCTTGGAACTAAAATAAAGCCATGTTGGCTGGCCAGAGGACTCTAAGAAGCTACCTACTTCTATTTTACAGCACTGGGATTACAAGCAATACCGTCATGCCCAGCTTTTTTAATGTGGGTCTGGAGGGCATCAAATGCAGGGCCTCATATTTGGAAAGAAAGCACTTTGCCCATTGAGCTATCACCCCTGCCCCTATTTTTAATCCTTTACTGCCAGCCCAGGGCCTGGTCCTCAGGACTCCTCTCTCCTTGTTGGATTTGTGTGTGTTTGAGGAAGCATCTCATATAGGCCAAGCTGGCTTTGAACTTACTATGTAGCTAAAGCTGGCCTTGAACTCCTGATCTTCCTGTGTCCGTTTCCTAAATGCTGGGATTACAGGTTTATATTACTACGCCTCTGTTCTCTGTCTCTCTGTTTTTCTTTTTGGAGGCAGGATTTTGTCAGTTCAAGGCTTGTGGCAATTCTCTTGCATCAGCCTCTTAGAGTGCTAGGATCAGAGGAGTCCACCATCATGCCTGACTTCAGGTAATGCTTTCTGACTAGGTGGTTAAGCAAAGAAATTAACAAAAGATCTTGGGCTAGTTCTCTAAGGTCTCATTATCCTTGGCTGTCCTGTAGCTTAGTATGTAGACCTGCCTGGCCTCAAACTTACAAAATCCACTTACCTTTGCGTCCTGAGTGCCGGGATTAAAGGTGTGTGCCATCATTCCTGGCTTGGACTGGTGCCTTCTCTTGGTAGTCTCTGCTTTTTCATTTTAACAGCCAGCTCCGGGTTCATGGGTTGGCTGCAAAGACTAAGCTATGGATGGAAAATTCACAAACCAGTTTCAGTTCCTGAAACTGAGCAGAGTGCAGAGTGTGGGTAAGGACAGGCAACTTAAAAGTGGATCAAGATGGCTGTGATATCTTTCTTTCCGTAACAAAATTGCCTTTTGTAAATAATACTGGAAAGGATTCCAAAATGTTTTACAGTGGCTGGCCCTGCACTAGGGGACCCTGTAGTTAGAAACCAAACTAAATAAAGTGTAAAGCCTTAGAAAAACAGATGTCGCTGGCACTGGCCTTTAATCCCAGCACTTGGGAGGCAGAGGCAGGCGGATCTCTGTGAGTTCGAGCTGGTCTACAAAGTGGGTTCCAGGACAGCCTCCTAAGCCACGAAGAAACCCTGTCTCAGAAACACCCCTCCCACCCCCAAAAAAGAAAAGAAAAACATATTTCTTTCATTTAGGTTACTAGGTTGCTTTGAGTGTTTTATTCCCTTAAGAGTTCTGGGGATAGACTAGAGCTAATATCTAATCCTGTTGTCTCAGTCTCCAAGAGTGTTGGAATCATAGGTGTGTGTTATCGTACACAGACTTTTCTTTCTTCCTTTCTGTATTATTATTATTAAGATACAGTCTCACTAAGTATCTCCGGCTGGCCTGGAACTTGCTGTACAGACCAGACAGGCCACAGAGATCTGCCTGTGTCTGCCTCCAAGTACTAGGCTTAAAGGCGTTTGAATGAACTCTGGCCACTTTTCCCTTTTGAAGCTTTCATAGGAGCATGTGAAGACCAATTCTCTGTCGTTTTCTTTGTGTTCCTGGGCCTGGCAACCTTCCACATCATGGTGTATCCTTCATCGCATGAGCGGAAGGCCCTGCTCAGCCCAACGGTGAAATGAAGGGCAGCCAGCCATGGGAGAGCAGAGTTGTGGGATAGAGACTATATTTTCCCCAAGGTGAAGTCTCTCCCAAGTAATCCTGGAGACAGGAAATGACACTTCAGAAATTATAGTTCCTTTCTTTTCCGCATATACACTTTGGGGAATGGTTTCCTGTGTGCCCGGTGATTTAATACTTTCCTTACTCCCCAGGGGCTGTAACTTGTTTCTTTTTTATTGGTTGAGAATGTCTAAGCCACAGGCAGTATTAGTAGCAATCTTGTTCACTGCTGCGTGTACAGAGAGCAAGAGCTTTGTAGCACATAGTAGGTGTTGAGTGTGAGAACGACTCTGTGAAATGTGACATCTTTGATTGACTGTAGTACGCCTCCCTGGCAGGCAGGGAATAAAACCCACCTCTAGATAATAAGACCCTCATGGTGTCCCGCACCCCATAATTAGGACCCCCATGCCTTCGCTTTGTTGTGGGCGACCAACCAAAGGCTAAGAGAGCGCCTTCTTCTTCAGTTGTCCAGGCAGGACCTCAGGCTGCCTCGACATCACAACCCCTCGAGGTTCCTTCTCCAGGTTTTTCGGGAGCCGGGGACCTGGAGATGTCCCGGGGCCGTAGCCAGAATTCACCTCAGAGGTTCCCAGCCCAGGGACGTGCGCCTCCACGTGCCCAACACATTCTTTGCCCCTTGGTCCTGTGCAGGGCTGAGCAGACTGCCTCCCCC